GCGCAATAAAAACGGTGCACAAGCCAAAATATACAAATAATGATGACGGTGGTGGTGGTGGTGAGGAAGAAACCTCTCCTAGATCTACTCAGATGTAAAGTTAGCACTCGTATGTTCGCGCAAAGGCCATAACCAAATCACCCAAAAACTGCGCCCAGGATCTCAGAAGCTAAGCAAGGCTGACCCTGGGTTGAGTAAGGGATGGGCGCCTACCTCAACCAAGGCTCCGTTAGGATGGGTGCCTACAACGCCTGTTCTACACAGCCCACAACGCCTGCGCGTAGACCAGGCGGTGTAGACTACTGCAGGGCCACACTCTCAGCAGAGGGCAGTTGCACCCAAATCAATTGTTGTACTGCTCACCGTTTTACCATTGCACACCGAAGAACGATGTCATCACAGCGGCAAGTGATATCTAAACCGGTCCTACCCCCCCTCTCTGAACTTCAACACCCTGCACTGACAAATGTGGTGAAGTATGGTCAAATAACCCCCATCGATGCGCACAACGTGGCAAGGCCCTCACCCAGCCGTGGATTGACTGCATGTGCACTTCCGCAGTCAACAACAAGAGCATCTCACAGCAGTGCAAATGGAATTTCCCTTTCCACAATCGATCCCTTTCTGGCCAAAACACCCTGCAGGCGAAACGATGACGTGCTTGGCAACAAATCAGAATCCTGAAGAGAGAATGAAAATATTGAACGTCACAATTAAACTGACAGTTTTAGGAATCTTCACAGCAGCAATTAACCCGGAGAGCCGCAAATACGTAGCGGAACGGAAGCGTCTTTGCCGCTCATTGTAGAGGTTTATGGTTAATGCTGCCGGTTGTATGAACAAGATCCTGTGGCGATTTTCTACGCCAAACAAGCCGTCATGGTCCAATTTTCCCAGTTTGAAGAAGTACTCAATTACAAATTACTCCGGTTGAATTAAATCGCATCGCAACATCAGCCCCTACTGGCAGACTATACCCTGTCTGGGAAGCACAGTGCCCTCCCTCACGATGGCCTTCGGCTGTAAGGATGGCGTACCGTGCCAAATCGGAGGTGCGGCAAATACGGAACGTACTACGCTGGTGCGGCGTGAAGGAGCGTGGTGAAAATTTCCCGTCGTTGGGTAGGAAAAGCAGAGGCGGTGCCCAACGCTCCCCGGGGCAGCACCTCCTCAACCCCGGGCGCCATGGGCGCAGCGGTTCCCGGAAACGTCCCGGCCGGTGGGGCCGGTGAGAGAGAAGCGGCCTGCCTTCTCAGGCCTCCCCACCCACCCTCCATCCCCCCCCCCCCCCGCCGCCGCCGTGCGTGGCTGCACGGGGAGAGGTCGGTGGACACGGCGGAGCTGCAATTGTTTTGCCAAATAATCGGCTGCCAAGGAGGGGGGGGGGGGGGAAGCAGCTCGCATTGTGCGCGCGGGCCCACGGTGCGCACATCCGACGGGCGTGTTTCGTGGTGACGGGGCGCGCCACTCCGGCGAGCGCTCTTAGGTGGCAAAGCCCGCTGGCCGGGGTGGGGGGGGGGGGGTTTGGGGGCAGAGATTTTCTTTGTTAAGTTGCACGAAATTGTTTTAGTCTTTCTGTCACTCGACAGTCCCGGAGGGGAAAAAAAACAAAACCTGTGCTTGGAGAACGAGTCCAACATCAACAAACTGAGGAACCAGAGAGCGAGCGAGCGAGCGAGAGAGAGAGAGAAAAACGATGTGGAAAGAGCATGCTTCGCAGATGGAGGCGAGAGCCTTTTTTTGCGGGAGTCCATCAGGATCGGAAAAACACACGACCATTTTGTTTCAGAGTTCACGCCACTGCCGGCGAGCGCCTGTTTCGTGGCGGGTGGCGGGGGGGTCATGGGAGGTCGGCGGGCACGGAGCGCCGCCGCCACGGGTTTTGTAAATATCGCGTGCGTGCAGATTTTACTGCCCAACCCGAGCTCCCGTCCCGCGCATTCCGCATTCTGCCTCGACTTTCGCAAACACGGCCGAGGGGCAACGTTAGGGGAGCGCGCGCGCACACAGGCACTGGACTCCGGCCGACCAAACGCCATACTTCACATTTTTACGTTTCACGGTTTGCCCCCCCCCCCCCCCCCCGATCGACGGAAGAAACCAAACAAAACAAAAAAAGCCAAATTCCCAAGCTCAACTCCTCGACTCGCAGTGGCCTCCATCACGGCGCAGCGATAAATCTCGACCACCGCGTGTCGGCTGTGCGCGCAGTGTGCCCTCGCTCGCCTACGCGTACTCCCCCCCCCCCCACCGGTCCCTCCCAGTGTCACCGAATCCGTGTTTACAATTTCCTCGCGATCACAACCCCCCCTGCCCCCCCCCCCCCGGGCACCCCTGTGGTAACGAAAGCCTGCTGTAACAGCCGGTGAGAAAGAGAGGGATGGGAGGGGGGTGGGTAGACATTTTGGCTGCCGTGTTCATATTTTGCCGTGGCTGCCCACGTTTTCACCACCGGGATAACGAGTGTCGAAATCGCAGGCGCCACTCCGTCACCGCGCGTCCAACGATCCGGCCAAAGTGTTCACACCTTGGCGACGCGCGGATTAATCATCGATCCCTAAAGCTCACGACACACGAATTTAAATTGCGCGAGAAAGGCTCGTTGCTGGATGCAATTGGTTTACGTGGCCCCTGCAGCCACTAGTGGCAGATATATTCAGTGACACTTTGAAAAAAAGCAAATCTCAACCCTGGATCGCGACATTTCATCGAATTGGCAGTGGAAGTTTGGCGAATCCTTGGGCCTATTACCGTTCGCGGGGTCTTTTTGTTAACGTTACCAACCGTCAATTTTAACCGGTGCCAGTTGCATGATTCCCATCAAGTAGAATTTCCCCGACTGTCAATGAAAATGGAGAAGTGAGCAGAGCAGGACAGTGGTTGGCGCAATGCGCTGTGAACCAAGTGACCTGAGTTTGATTCCCGGATGTGGCTGTCATTGGTGAGCGGCGAGCAATGTCCCAACAGGTCCTGGCCTCGCCCTCCGTACTTCACCAAACCGCACTGACCATTGTGGTGAAATATGGTCAAACAGCACCTATGACCGACACAGCTTATGGGAATTGTAAATCAGCGCTTTCCACCGAATGCCGATAACCCTACTCATACCAAAAATACATATACGAAAAACTCTTTTTTATTTTATCAGGTAAGGCCCACTGAGCTACGTAGAAGCGACCTGGCCGCAAATGAGAGCTCAACGAAGTGGCTTATCATCACGTAGAAATTTATAGCAGCCAAATACTGCAAACGCATGTTTTTCTAAGTGTGGAGGGAAAACCCGGAAGACCCAGAGCAAAATCCACGCAACCACGGGGAGAGAGAGACATGCAAACTCAAATAATACAGCAGGTGTCAGGGTCGGCATCGAACCAGCGACCTCCTGTATACCAGGCGATGGAGTTAAAATCTCGCCACCATAGCGCCTAATAACAAAACAGCCCTAGCCGGAGAGTCATCTGTATAGGCATCTATCTGGAACGCTCACTCCCTCGTTAGCCAGCCCCCCCCCCCCCCCCCCCCCCCCCCCCTGGACTATTGGACCCTGCTCGCTCGCTCGGTTGGTTGCTCGCTCGCGCTCGGCGTAAACAGCCGGCTGCTTCGGGTTCAACTCCAATTCCAGTGGGTGGGCAATCCGGTCCAGGTGGTCACTCGCGCAAGCGGTGTAAGCGTGGTTGGCAAGGGCCCCTCGCGTGAGGAATGAACCGCAGCCCCCTGTCCAATTCCGCCCCACCTCGCCGCTCGCCATACCCTCCCCGTGCCTGGGCCCCACTGGTGTTGATTAATCGACCGAGGATTGCAATTGACGCCTCTTCTCTGCAGTAGATTGAATCGGACTGCAATTTCAAATGGGGAAACCGACAAAACAATGCCTGGCGTTGACCCGGCTGATCACCTCCCGCCCAGCGGCGCACGTGGGAACAGCCAACGACGCTTTTATTTTGGAGCCCGTATTTGGTGTAATGCAATTAGTCGAGTAATAAAACAGATAACTGGTATATTATTAGATTACTTCCATGATCGGACAGCCCAGCTCTAACCGCGGGTCGCAGCGCGATCGTATTGAAAGGTCACACTGCAGTGACACCATTGGAGCGTGCTATTGGCGGCACTGCTGACGGTGACTTCAGACTATTTGTTTCTCGCTGGAGAAGGTTTAGGCTCATGGTCACACAGCCAGGGACACGCGGCCTGGATGTGCACGGAGCCCATAGCTGCTTGTCGCTATTTATGGGACACGTTATGCCCATCCAACCACAAAAAAAACTAAAAAACGCCTAACGCAATCAGGAAGATCTCACCACACGCAGCTTATAAATACCATTGTCTAGATTTGTTTAAAATTAATTGGGCGATTCTCTCCCCCCGCCTTCCCCAAATTGACTGACCCCCAACCATCAATCAGAATGCGTCGGGGACATAGGCCTGGTTGACATTCGCGTACGGTTGTTTCGCGTCACCCAACGTTCTGCTACGGGCCTCCGTTCTTGTACACAGCAAAAATCTATACAAAAAAAGAATAACTGGGCGAGATTGGCAACTGAATTTGTTTTTTTTAAACACCTTGTTGTTTTACACAGTGCACCAGCGCGATTCCCGCGTGGACGTTGGACACACGTGCTCCTAACCGGTCTTGGATTGAAGGCCGGGACTCACGAGGCCCAAAGTTTGACGTGGAGGCCGAAGGCCACAAAAAGCCAAGACGAGGCCAAGGCCAGAAGCCCTTTTTAGGTCAAGGCCACCGTCAAGGGCTGGCTGCCTCTCGGCCAACTCGGCAGCTTAGTTGGCTTAGAGGCAACGAAGGGAACAACACTCCTATCTCTTACACCTTCGGCAGTGCCGTTTCTCACCGTCCGCTTGACGTTTTGGTCATCTGGGCCGGTGCTCAGTAATCGCGATCTTAAATAAATATTTTTAATTTTTGTTGTAGGGACGAGGAAGGGGTAGGCGAGGGGTTGGCGGTCGGTGTCGCGAGCGGCGGTGGCGTCGCCGGCACGCACCTGATGGTGCCCGTGGGGGACGGCATGGGGCTCGCCCAGTCCGGCGACGGGTCGGGGATGTGCAGCTTGAGCGGGGAGATGCTGGCGGCCGCCGACATCGGGTGGAGGAACTGCCGCTGGGGTGGGGGGGAGTGGGCCCCCCTCAGGTCTGCGGGGGCGACACGCAACAGCTCAGCTCAGTGCCACAACGCGAGCCCGGCCGGCCGGCCGAGCGGCCGGCGTCTTTCAAGCCCGGCAAGCCGTCAGCAAGCAAAGGTGAACTAAAAGTAAAGGGAGGGGGTAAAGCGCTACAGGTGGTGGTTTTGGTTATGGTTCGGGCGAGTGTTAGGGTTAGAGTGCGTGGGCTGTGGTCTGGTTGGTTTGGACTAGTGTCTGGGTGGCCAATGTGCTTAGTGTCAGAGGCGAGGCCAGTGCTGTTGTACTGCCTGCTGGCTGGTCGGTTAGTTCGTAGGATTAGTGAAAAGGAAACTGCCTGACGAAGGGATAAACCCAGGGCCTCCAAAAACAAAAAAACTAAACTATAAACGAAACAAATTTTTTTTTCATCAGGTAAGCTTAACAGCTCTTTTTTAGAAGCGACCTGGCCACAAATGATAGCTCAACCAAGTGGCTTATCGCGTGGAAATTTCAAGCAGCCCATTACTCTAAACACACGTTTCTAAATTTGGAGGGAAAAAACAGAGGACCTAGAAAAAGATCCACGTGACCACGTGGAGAGAGAGAGAGACACGCAAACTCCAAATACAGCAGCAGGCGTCAGGGTCGGGATCGAACCCACGACCTCCTGTGAACCAGGCGAGGAAGTTAACATCTCGCCACAGCGGCGCCCCTAATCGGCTCCTACCGCTGTCGAGCGACGCCGCTGCCGCCGTCACTGCCGCCGGCGCCGACCCCGCCGGCGCCGCCACCATCACGGCCGGTGTGGTGGAGGCGTCCGCCGAGTTCACGGTAGAGTCCGGCTGCTGGCCCCCTCCCGCCTCCAGCCTGGGCTCGGGCGAGCCACACAACGACGTGAACGTCAGCCGGATGTTTGTGCTCGGGAAACGCAAGATGCACCTGCGGTGGGGGAAGACGGTGCGGGTAGGGGGTGGATGGAGGGGGGGGGTGGCGGGCGAGGGGGTGTGGGGGGTGGGGGGCAGGTAGGGGGGGGGCGACACGCAAAACGGGTGTCAGGAGCGAGCGACGGGCCACTCGGCATCCGCACGTTTCGATTGCCGCTGCTCCTGCAGCTCGACGAGTCAGAGTCACGCCCCGTGGACAATTTCCACGTGGAGGCTAAAGCTGGGAAGATTCATCAAGTCAACCGATCGACTGAAACTTGTCAGCGACTACTTTTTTTAGTGGTCGATAATTACTTGGACCGCCGCCTCCCGAAGGCAGGGGAAAGCCCTCTTACAAGCCACGGCCAGCGCGATTTCGGCTGACGGTGCCAACGACGTCACCAAGCCCCGCCCATCACCTCCAGTCCAGCGGCACGCGCGGAAACAGAAACGACACTTTTTCCGGAACGATATTTGCGTCGTCCGATTATTCGGGAAATTCAACGAACGATCAGTAGAGTGACGGATTACGTAAACTAATCGGGACAGCCCGGCTCTAAACCGCGGGGGTCACAATGCGATCGCTTTGAAAGGTCACAACCTGCAGTAACATCTTTGAGAGCTTGCTACAGCGGCGACGTCAGATTGATCGTCTCTCGCTGGTGAAGGTGTAGACTCGTGTCAAACAGCCGGGGCGACACGTGGCCTTGGGTGTGCATCTACAAGATAAGAGCCCCGTTTAATCGAGCTGACAGCTGCTCATGGCTATTTCTGGGACATGCTCACATCCATCCGAGCACACACTGCGGCATTTTTTTTATTAAAGTGTCATCATAACAATAACATGAGGCCGTGCGATAATGTCAATAAACAAGGAGGGATAACAAACCAAAATATCGAATAAATCATTAACGCGATGTCTCGTTTGAATTTTTTGTTTGTTATTTAATCAAATAAAATGTCCCGCATGTTTTACGACGGAGGCAAGGCCCTCAACGGCACCGCCTGGGTCACGCCCTCCTCCTCCTCCGCTCGGGTGCTCGCCTGACAACGGCGGCAATTAAATGCACCGAGAGCCAAATTAAAAGCGACATTGGACTCCGCGGCACATGCTGGATCGATGCGGCCCATCGGGAAAACGGGGTTACGCGCAACGCTGTATAAACACAGCGGCGGGCGCCTGCCGCGCTGTTATGGCAAGGCACGCCACTGCTCCGTGCATGTGTGTGTGTGCTCAAACACGTGTGTGTGTGTGCGCAAACACATGTGTCAGTGTGCGTGCGTCAAGTGTGTGCGAGAGTGTGGGCAGTAGTGTAGCAGCTGGTGCACTGCGCTACGAACTCGGCGACCCGAGTTCGATTCCCGCTCACGACCAACACCGGTGACGATTATCTGAACCGGTCCTGGGCCTCCCCTAGGTGGGCTCAGCCTCAAATGAGTAGCTGGTGCGGTGTGTAAAAACATCGCCACTGGGGAGACAAAGGCGGCCGGGCGTGGTGTTGGCCACTCACCCCCTTGTGTGTCATGCCGGCCTTCATAGGTGCTCGCTAACAGCACTTGCCCCAACAGTCTGTTAAGGTTATACGGGGGATCTTTGCCAGTGTGTGTGTGTTAGTGAGCGTGTGACAGTGTGGGTGGTAGTGTAGCGGTTATGACGCTGCACGACAACCCCGGCGACCCGATTTCTATTCCTGCTTGACGGCCAACACCAGTGATGGATATTGTAACTGGTCCTGGGCCTCACCGAGGTCGACTCAGCCTCAAATATTTCCTGGCGCAATGTGCAAATATCACCACGAGGCGGCTGGGCGTGGTGCTGGCCACCCACACCCCAGAGGTCGCAAACGGGTTTTGATTCCTTACCCGTACCCGGCCGCACCAGGGTCGCAAATGGGTACCCGTTCCCTACCCGTACCCGTACCCTACCCGAAATGAGTGACAAACGGTTACTCACCAGAGACTCACGGCCTACCCGTACCCGTACCCGGCCGTACCAGGGTCGCAAACGCCTACCCGTACCCGGCCGGGTACGGGTAGCCGGGTATCGGGTAGGGTACGGGTATCGGGTACCCGGTTGCGACCTCTGCCACACCCTCGTGTGTCGTGACGGACTTCATTAGGTGCTCACTAAAAGCACTTGCCGCCCCAAACAAGTCTGTTAAGGCTACACGGGGATGTTTGGCTTGTACTGGGGTGCATTGTGTGCACGTAACACACAACACCCATCAAGCTAACTGGAAAAATCAAGACGTGAGAGTCAGTCTGTGCGTGCGAGTGTGTTTGTGTGCGCAAGTCTGTGTTTGGCCAGATAGAGGGGGCTAAACGGGCATGACACGGGCGGTATGGGGCTGTCCATAAATGACGTCACGCGATATTGAACGATTTTTGACCCCCCCCCCCCCCTTCGTCACACGGCGTTACAAAAAGTCAGACCCCCCCCTCAAATATGACGTCACAAAGCTCTGCCCCCCCCCCCCAAAAAAAATAAAACATGCTTCAAATCGCTTTCAACTATTGTCATTGTAGTGCGTATTTAATGTGGCGCTGCACTCTGATGATTACATTTATTTAAAGTTGCGCATTTTGATGTGACGTCACATTTCTCAACCCCCCTCCCCCATCGTCACACATAGTCACAAATGTCTGACCCCCCCCCCCCAGGTGCGTGACGTCATTTATGGACGGCCCCTATGGGAAGATGTGGAGTTGAGTGGACTTGCTGAAGACTGGTATCAACGGTGTCAAGATCGACCTCTATGGAGGAGGCTCATGAAGAAAGCTACTGGTCAGTTAGAGGCAGTTGCCCTTGAATAATAATGGAGGGCAAAGGAGCAACGCTCTGAACAACGAGCAGAGCTAAAATGCAGTAAAAGTTGGCACAATATGGTGCAAAGCTGGTGCCAATTATCTCAGTCAGTCAATCCATGGCACCTGGGTCTGTCCCGTGACCTCCAGTCTGCGAGCCTTCGACACTTCACGTGGCCTCAAAGTGCACCTGGCCTGGCACAGGCGCCGTGGTGACGTCACCGCCACTTAGTGGCGAATGGCGGGTGTTGGGGTGTGGGCGCACGCGCGCGTGCCCGGGAGCATGTACCGTGTGTACACCACAAGCCACACACTTCATAATGCCAACTGTTATGCAACAAAATGAAAAAAAAACCATTGTGAGCACACATCCTGCATGGAACGCCACCTTGATTACACAAACGCACGTGGGGCAACGCCAATTCGGAACAGACCGGTGGGGCCACAATGCCGCTTACGCAAAGAAAGACGACCAACAGCGGGTTTCTTTGATAGCAATCATTCTCGTAGAATAATTCACGACTTGGCGCTTCGTTCACCCAACGATAGTCGAAGGCCTCCGCACGCAGCACTGGTCAGAACAGGTTGGTGAAGACGAGGTGCCATAGATGTACAGTGCTGTACAACAACACATTTTATTTATGCATCGTCGCACCTGCTACCCATCACCCAGCCTCCCCCCCGCAACCTGTTTGTGCATTGCGCTTATCCATCCGAGCACCATCCAGGCTCAACTCCTGCTTAGCTTCCGAGACACGACGGGGGGTCCCGGAAATCACTCGCCAGCGATGCGAGCCGTGGTCGGGAATCAAACTCACAACACAGCATCCCACATCTATGCACCGACTCACAACACAGTACCCGCATCTATCCGTGGACTCACAACACAGGACCCGCATCTATGCGTGGACTCACAACACACCGGTAGAGATCAAGGTGAACTCAAGCCCAGATCAAGTTGAATTACAGCATTTGCGGCTCAGGGCTTGATGAGAAAAATTGCTTGAAAATCCACAGCACTGGCTCAAAAAGATTTTTCAAATCGTGACGCTTAAGTGGTTCATTGCAGTTACCGCGTCCCTCAGTTGAAAAAGAGGGCAAGTTTCTTAAATCCCCCTCCTCCTCACCACCTCTGTCCACCCAGCAATACGAATGGGAACGCTGCAGATGGTCGATCGGCAGGTCGCGTGCGGTGGGGTCAAGTGTGGGTCCTCTCACTTCTTCCGAGACGTCTGCTTAGCGAGTAAGAGGAGACCAAAAATGTCATCGACAGGAGCTCGGCGCACGGGGGGGGGGGGGGGGGGGGGGGGGGCTCTCTACACAAGGAAGCGCTTCTTGCCCCGCAGTGTGGCGTGAACAAGAACGTTATCATGGCTCCACCTTCACCTTATTCGAATATGTTTGATCGTCAGTGCATCTCACACTCACGCTCGCCATCATCTTACAGGACTTCCGAAAAGGGGTGTAGGTAGGTCCAAGTGGGGATTATGCAATTAGGTAGTCGGAGTAGGGGGGGCACAGCTGGTGCATCTGCCAGTCATCTCGGTCAGTCAACCCATGGCGCTTGGGTCTGTCCTGTGACTTCCTGTCGGGCGAGCCTTCGACGCTTCACGCGTCCTCAAAGTACACCTGGCCTGGCACAGGCGCCGTGGTGATGTCACCGCCACTTGGTGGCGAATGGTGGGAATTAGTATTGGTATCCAATTAAAAACACACACACAAAAAAATCAAAGACATCCAATTGGCAATCAAGAAAATGAAATGAGCTTGGGCAGGGCCCATCCCTCGACAGGCTGCTGGCACATGGACAAGACTAGCGATTGAATGGCAGCCAATGCATGGAACACATCCGAGATGCCAACCACCGTGCAGCAGATGGAGCGACAAGGTGAGTTCCCGTCCAGGAGTGAGACGGATGGCAGCTTCGGACAATATCCCCCAACCTGTATTTTAACTCGATTCTATTCGGTTCCTCAAGAAGCTCCCAGCACGTGCAGCGAAACGTCGGAGGGCTGTACAATCGCTCCGTCCAAATTAAATCCCCGTTCCATCGTGCTCCGTCTGGGATTAAATCCCCGTTCCATCGCGCTCTGTAATGGGATCAAATCCCCGTTCCATCGCGCTCCGTAATGGGATTAAATCCCCGTTCCATCACGCTCCATCCGGGATTAAATCCCCGTGCCAGAGCTCCGTCCGGGATGAAATCCCTGT